GAAATAAACGTAAGTGCTAGAAGAAAGCACGAGCCTTATTCTGTTTGGAAAAAAAGGTGAAAGTAATTTAAACGCAGTTATTCTATTGAACCACATTTGAATTACTAGATGTGCTCTGAAAGTCGACCATTTAGAAAGAAATGGTGGTTTCGACATAGGTTGTTTGTGCAAATGAACTTCAATTATGTCAAAGAAGTTATCAGGGGTTTTTGCATGCTTCGAATTCTGACCACACCTTTTCTCAAGAAAAGATGTTCCCCCGGTAGGGCAAGCGGCCTAACCTTGGTCTTTAGAATCTTAAAACTGCTAAGACTCTTACAGTAAGATTCAAAGAAGTGAGAACATACAGCACTTCTTTTAGAGAAGTTTATTGTCTTTTTCAGTCTTTGAACTTGCAGATGGTTACGTTTGGAACTTACCTGTACGCAAGTCCGATAAACTGAGCAACAAGCAAAACGTTGAGCAGGCGAGCGAGAAAGAAACCACGAACTGGATTCCTCTTCTTATATTCTCGTACACGTGTGTAGACAACAGAATACCACGACATCTTTAATAGCATTAAGAAGATTCTATGGGAATCTTTGTCTACCGGTCTTCTACTGCTTTTTAGATGATACTGGCATAGAATAAGGAACGTTAAACGTACCGCAGTTGAAATGTCAGTGAGATGGAGATATCAGTACATACTAACTCGCTTTACCACCGACCTTCCCTCGACACAAAGGATATGGAATTGAAGTACACCCAATTAAAATGTTTTTTTTTTCTAGTTTATCTGTAAACAACTGATAACATTTTGAGCATGTCATGGCAGGTAGCTGAGCTTTGGACACAGATGTATAACTCATTCTTTCGAAACTGGTATAATACCAGCGATCAATGAGCTCATTGAGTTTTTAGGGTGCGGCTTAAATAGAAAGAAACGTTTATAGAATAGTCTTATGTATGGAGGAAAAGAGGAAATGTTTCTTTTTTTAAAGCACTTCATTCCTTACGTTTCAAAACAGTCTGAGAAGAGGGAGAGGAGAGAAAATGGATGCCGTCTACCTTCCCCTCTTTCATTGGCTTGACTGCAATGCGTTTTAATTAAAATAGTAGGTTTCTTTGTGATGGGATCCATTGAGAAAAATAAAATTTACTCAATATACAACAATGTAACAGATAAACC